TCGGCTTTCAGCGCCGAGATGATCGGGTCCGCTGCCGGCGCTCCTCGTCCTCGGAACTCGAACCCTCCGAATTCATCCGCAAACCAGATTGTCCTCTTGGGACAATCAATGTAGGCTTGGTACTTCATCAACCAATCCATGCCCAGAATAACATCAAATCCTCCGATAGGTACCACAATGAGATCTGCGGTTAGTAGACGACCGCAAACCTCAAGGGGTACGCCTCGTAGGACCCCGTGCACTGTCAAGGTGTCTCCCGAAGGTATGCGCACGGTGAAGTCATTCCTTGGCTCGATATCCCTAGTACCGATCACATCCGCTAAGTTCGTACTCACGAAGCTGTGAGTCGCTCCCGTGTCAAACAAGGTATAACAGGGCACCCCGTATAAGAAAAGGGTACCTGCGATAGTCCTTGTTACATTTGCATTCAAACAATAGTGGGTTGTCCCACACCAACAACGAAATCACCCAATATAATTAGAGAGGTACCTGCGATCGTCGCAGCCTCCGCTTCTTCTGGACAAGCTTCCTCCTCCTCCTGGATGTCTCGCTCAGCATCAAGAGCATACACTCTCGGTGTGGCTCCAGTCCTCACTGGTGGTCTGGGTGGTCTGCTTGCCTGGCCTGGTGGTCGTGGGGCTCTTGGCGCCGGAGCTGGTGGTCCAGTAGCCCTCGTCGGACAACGTGAGGCAATGTGTCCAGGCTGCTCGCAACGGAAACAGATCACTGGCCCCGTTGTCGCCAGTGGTGGTGGGGCACGATCAACGGGCGCCTTGCCCTTGTTGCGCGGGTCATTGCTCCGGGCGTTCCTCCCGGATGAACCCGTACCGAAGTATCTCCCAGCGGGGCTCCGCTCCCGGATCTTCCCCTCCTTCTCCTCTTGCTCTCCACGTTCTACCTTCTCCAGCTGGGCAATATACCGACTCAGCGTCGGATACTCCTGGATCTCGATCCTCCTCCGCAGGTAGGGTCGGAGTCCAGCAATGAACTTCTGGATCTTCGACGCCTCGGTGGGCACCAGATGCCCTCCATACCTCAGTAGGCGGGTGAACTCCTCCTCGTACTCACTGACGGTCATGTCTCCTTGCTGCAGCATGAGGAACTCTGCTACCCGGTACTCCCGATCCTGTTGTCGGAAGTACTTCGTCTCGAATTCCTGTCGGAACTCCTCCCATGTAAAGCGATGTCCTGCTGGCGCCTCCTGCACCACCTTCGCCCACCAATGTCGGGCTTGACCCGACAGGTGATGGCTCGCAATCATAGCCCGATATTGGTACGGGCACTGCAAGTACTCCAAGTCCTGAGACATCTGGGTGAGCCACTCCTCTGCAGCTTCCGGTTTCACCGACCCCTCGAATCGCGGGGTATGCATCGCCCGCAACTCCTTGATGATAGGAAGGTATCCCGTCATAGCAGCAGGCATCGGCGACTGGTGTGGTTCCTCCTCCCTCGGTTCCGGGTCTCTTGCCGGGGGTGGTGGTGGGGCGTGAGCAGCCAGATGCTGCCACACGGTCTCCTGGAATTGACGAAACTCAGCTCTCCACCCTTCGTCTCCGGGGTTGGGCGGTGGAGTCTTTTCGGGGACGTCGTCAGCCCTTGCCGCAAGTCTAGCACGTCGTGGCGCCATTTCACTGCACCACATTTAATACAGTTTAGCAACTGACCACCGATTCTGCATCATCGATGTACGGACGGACCTCTACAGGTGAGGATTTTCTTCGGACATGGTTTGAAAACATTTTTCGCAGAAAATCATTGGGTAATGAGCACGATTCCTTCCCGAGGAAAGAACGTGGCTCTGATACCAAAAGTTGTGACACCCGTAACCCGTGTACAGCATACGGGTTGTGCCACATGGACGATATAAGGTAAAATAATAATTTAATAAATGAAGGAAGCGAAAATTCCAAAAATCCAAAAAACATTTTCGCTAAACCAGAGTAAACAGCGGAAAATACAACAGGCGATCGGTATCGCAAAATAACACATGTTCGAATACTCATAATACAACCGTACAAAAGTCGAAACGATAAGTCCTTTGATTCAAAATACAAATCCCGTACGTGATGCCGCTTCTCTCGGTTCGTCGTCTGCTGAGGCGCTAGGCGTAATCCTCGTGATCTGAACCCGGAAATCCCGTTCTAAATGAGAACGGTACAATCGACATTTTCCAAATACACATGCAACGAATATATCAACACAATGAACACATCAATAGCAAACACAAACACGCCCGTATGGAATCCACCATAAGTCCATGACCAGGGGCGAATCCACGCCCATCACCCGCGTGACGTTGGCCATCGCATCACATGCGATCGTGCGCGTCTCCTGCGCCCGTCACTCTCGTGACTACCGATGTCGAGTCCACGACACAACGGAAATACAATCATATCCCTGTGGAGTCCACCACAGGGTCCAGCCATATACCCTAGTCAAATCCATGACTAGGGGCGAGTCCACGCCCGTCAAGTCCATGACGTTGGCCGTCGTGTCACACACGACAAAAATGCGTCTCAAACGCGTGTCAAGTCCATGAGCAAGCTACACACATGGCACACGACGTGCACAATCACGCTTGGCTCGTACGCACGACCAAGCTACACACATGGCACACGACGTGCAATATCCTCATGATACAACCACGCATATCACGGTACCCGGTCCCTACCGGAATACCGTTCAACGCCATACAACTCTACCCGCAAGCAATCACACAACGATCCCTCGTAATTTGATATCACACATCTCACCACGTTACGCAACGTTTTAGTAAAACTTGTTCCGATTGATCCCAATTGCGAAGCCTGCCCTCTGTCGATGGTTTGGTTCACCCACAGTCACGTCTGGTCGGGCCCGGGTCAGCCCCGAGGGTCGTTTTCTCCTTCCCGGTCAAAAGGTTGAATTTTCTTCCAAGTTTCTGAGCCTCGTCCGGCGGACCAAGTTTTTGGTCAGCCGGACCAGTTCTCCTTTCTTCCCTGGTCCGCTCCGTCTGGGTCCGTCGATCCGAGAGAGGAAAACAGGCCTGGTCCGGCGGACCAAGGTTGGTCAGCCCCGGACCAGCCTGCTTCTTCTCTCTCGGTCAGCGCCTTCTGGTCCGTCTGAGTGTCCGCACTCCGACACGTCTGGTCCGGCGGACCAGGATTGGTCAGCCCCGGACCAGGCGTGTCCTTCTTCTTGGTCCGCTCGCTTCTCCCTGGTTCGGCGGACCGTGGGGCTTCAGAACACGTCTGTTCCGGCGGACCAGATTCTGGTCCGGCGGACCAGGACGTGTTTTTCT